CCCGCTTTCGGTCTTCGATCGTCCCACGGTAGGTGGTCATCAAAGCTTGGCCCGCGATCAACTCGAGTATTGCAACCTGACTGTCGATCGCCAGCGCCGGGCCTACAACTTGTCCGCGAGTACAACGCGCTGAAGATTTCGCGAGTCGAACGCCGAAATTCATCCCTGCTGGACGCCATTCACAAGCTCCCTCAGCTTACCGTTGGCGGGTGGGCTTGGGTATACAACACGGCTGCTACAATTCGACAGGGTGTGCAGAAGGACACAGACCAACAGGTGGTCAAGGCCAAATTCGCACTTTCCTGGACGGGGCCCTACAAAGTTCTTGCGGTGGGTCCCACCTCTGCCGACGCCACTCCGGACGGCCGCCCGTTGGCGCATAAACTCCTCTACCTGGACCTGCCTTCCGATCTTCCGGCCCGGCAGCTCGTTGTCGCGTGTCTGTCCTTCGTTGCAAGCCCTGTCGCAATCCGAACGAGACGGACGACTTGCCGCAATCTCTGCCCGCCGAACTTTTGCGTTATGTTCTGCACTCTTTCGGAGATAAATGTCCACCTGTCCACGTCACCGCGGATGATGTGTCGGTGCCTGTCGGGCGCCTCGAGGTCGACTACATCTCGGGACATCAACTGGTGCGGGGCCGTAGCGGCGTTCTCGCTGTCCTGTACCAGACGCATTGGGTAGGCCTGACTATTCCGTCATGGGAACGGGAATCCGACGTTGACCTATTCCGTCGACACACCCTCTTGTACTGGTCCCGGGAGGCCTGCCAAAGCAAGCAAGGTAACCGTACATATCGAGTGGCTCGGACTCGCGCGGCACAGCGGGAGCTAGCCCGGAATCGTGGAGAACGCTATTTGCCTCCTGGGGCTGATCTTGTGCTTAACGCGACTTGGCTTCGCCGTTTCAGCACTTCGCCCCTCCCTGTTGGCGCGCGGCTGTGGTACAAGACCCTTGATGAATTGTGGTGGACCGGACGTATTGGTGCTCATTAGGGCGGCTCGTACATCGTTCGATTTTTGGCTGACCCGGGCCCAAGCGTTCTGCCTCTGCCTGCGCATCTCTACTCCACCGNTTGATGAATTGTGGTGGACCGGACGTATTGGTGCTCATTAGGGCGGCTCGTACATCGTTCGATTTTTGGATGACCCGGGCCCAAGCGTTCTGCCTCTGCCTGCGCATCTCTACTCCACCGCCTTGGACGCCGTCTGTGGATCATGGTGTTTAGAGAAACATCGTTCGCGCCCTCTGGGCGACAACCGTGTTCGCACTCCGCTCCTTGCTGACTCCTTACCGTCGACTGTTCCCACCATTTCTTCTTAGCGTCGTCGTTTTCATATGTTCGTGTGTCTGGATACGAGCATGGTAGATCTGCTAGCAGCACGGGGGGTACGTAGACAGGAGCATGCGTATGCCTGAAAAAGGCTACTATGTGTGGGCCCCCTTCCCGAATTCGGGAGAGCCACTTCTTCCCTTCCTTTCCTCGCTCCCGCGGGTGCCCAATCAGAGAGAGTTAAAGCGTGTCTTCTCCCAAGTACGGACATACCAACACACTAGTGTTT